GTGTTTGTTTGTTGTGTCTTGTTGCTTTTCTTCTTTTGTCTCTCCTCTATCCACTCACCCCAACCGGTCGAGGCAGAAGGCCGCCCACCAAGAGCCGGGGTCTGTCGGAGGTTTCTTCCGTTAGAGGGAGTTTTTCCTCCCCACTGTCGCCAAGTGCTTGCTTAAGGGGGATTTGTTGGGTTTTCCCTATGTAATAATAGTGATAACAGTAAGGTCTAGACCTTACTTTGTAAAGTGTCCTGTTGTGATTTGGCGCGATACAAATAAAATTTGATTAATTTTGTGTTGATCAACTAAACAATTAATTGATTTGGTGTGAGAGGCAGAAACTTGATGAATGGGTTTAAGTGAAAATCCCTTCTTAATGTTCACTTCCAGATTCTGTGGTGATTATTTACCTGATGACATCATCAGTACAGGTGAGACAGCAACATATTTCTATGATGCTACTGTGAGGAAAGATTTTAGATGACAGCACACAGATGCCTCTTATGTCTGACTTTTGTTTTACAGGAAATGTGATGACGCTGAAGTTCCTCTCGGATGCTTCAGTTACATCTGGGGGCTTCCAGTTACAGTACACTGCCTTTAATGCATCTCTGTTTTCACAGGATTACACTTACCAAGAATTTAATACACTGGTGTGATACAGTTGCTGTATTTTTATTGTTATTGGTTACTTCATGTACTGTAATTAATAGGTTTTTGTAGCTCCATAAAGAAGAAAATCTGTGAAATAAAAAGGTCATCAAATTGTGTTGCAGTTTCTGACATTGTTCTAGAAAAATAAACCAATCTGACTTTGTATTCACTTGTCCTCCGGTTTACTTTACTGAAAATACAGTACATACACTGACTTACAGTGCACCTTTATTCTTTACTGTCCTGTACCTACAGTTAGTGATGGTCCTCTGACACCTGAGGCTCTGACACATGTGCTCATGAAGCAATTATTTCGAACCACTGTGCCAAGGCCTGTTTTGGTCATGTGACTAGTCATATTTGAAGCACTTGAGTGACGTTCGAAGCAGTTCAAAGCACTTGAGTGACATTCGAAGCAGTTCGGTGCGTTGGACGTCATACAAATCACCTGAATGGTTGGGTTTGTCATGTGAATCACTTTGCGAGATAGAGTGTTTTCAGGGACAGGATATCCCTATTTATTTCTCAATAAAAACTCATCAACAGTTACACAAGCACACCACTGCCCTGTTCTTCAAGCACACCCACATACCCATGAACCTCTTTACCAACGAACCCCAAAATATACTTTGTGAAGGCCTGCCAAAATGTAATGAATGTTAGTAAAGTTATGAATCTGTGGTTACCCAAATTAAACATGTACAAGAATTAAATGAATATGACCCATTATGCTAAAGTGCAATGTTTATTAAAATATTTCAGCCCAGCACCATGTGACAACTGATTAACACGCAGGAAGTGGTGGGTACTGAGGTCTTACAGATTTAAAATGATTCTTCTTTGCTACGACAGACAACCATGACCCACCCTGTTGCCATAGGGCTTTCTCTTGGCACCGTACAGTTTAAAGTGGCATTTATGGATGTAACTATATATTGTAGTGCCTGACCACAGGTGTACCAAAGTAATCCTGAGCCCATGTGGTTATATCGCTTATAGACCCTGATCTCTGACCCCTCAGATGGCGCTGCATCTGAGGGGTCAGAGAGCACGAACATCCAGCTTAGGCTTTGCCCTTTATGCACTGAAATTCCTCCAGATTTCTTGAATCCTTTAATTAAGTTATTCACTGTAGAGAGTGACATATCCAAATCTCTACCTATCTTTTTTTGAGGAACATTGTTTTTAAACATTTCAATCATTTTTTCACAGATATCTTTGTGAACTGGAGATCATCGGCTCATCTTTGCTCCTAAAGGGCTAAGCCTTTCCTGGATGTTACTTTTCTAGGAAATCATGATTGCAGCTGCTTGTTGACATCACCTGTTTGATTTCTTTGTTTTACCTCATTACTAGCCCTAACATTCAACCATACCAATTTTTTTTGTCACGTATTGCAGGCATCAGAATTGGAGTGAGTGTTTATTTTAAGAGAATAAAACAAAGAATAAAACTGATGAGGTATCATATCAGATAATGTGCTGCTGTATTGTTTTCAGTGTCATAGAGGACACATAATTTATACATCATTTTCAGTTGTAATTTTTATCTTACATACCATCTCATTTTCTGATTTGAGGTTGTATATTTGTCTCTGTGTACTTACCGGCGAAAGACAAACATCCTCTCCGTCTTGCTGTTAATGAGCTCAGTGTGGCACCTGGTAGAACAGAGATGGTAGTATTATGTCTGCGGACTGTGTGCAACCTGCTGGTTGGCACCTGTGGTGCCAGACCCGCTGCTTCAGGAGCCCCACCTACAAAGGGATTACCAGTATTTGGTAATACTTGCAGTGTAGGTGTACATTTACTGAGATTCTGTAAGCTACTAAAGTAGGCTACAGTTTTGAGCTACTTTAAGCTACTGTAGTTTTTAGGCTCTACTTTATACTGTGGTCTAAAGACCCTATAACTTATGATGAATTATGATGCATTGAATTCAAAATGTACATAAAATAGTTTGAGCTCCACTCAAATAATAAAATGAATGTTTCACTTGTTCGTACTTCATTAACCTATGTAACCTTATATGGACCATTCTTTCTCCATAATGACTATAGTTTTGATACTTTGTATTTTGATACTTTAACATTTTACTGATAATACTATTACTCAAGTAAAATTTTTATTTCAGGACTTTTACTTTATTTTTTAAAAAATGGAATATTTTTTTACCATGGTGGTGACATTTTTACTTGTGTGAAGGATGCTACGTGGACGACACCGCAGTGATAGGTCAGAATAAAGCTAATGAAGGATGCTATACTTTTCTTAGTCCTGCTTGCACATCGTGTCAGATTTAGCCCTTTGTTCACTTTGAGCTGAGGTGCTATTAATGTTGTTGTTCAGTGATTATATTGTATTTAACAATCAGGAAAGAGACTGAGAGATACCTGTTGAATTATGTCTCCTTTGCCTTAATGCATGTGCGTATTTCTGTGTGTTTATTCAGTGAGGAGGCTGAGGAGGTTTGGCATGTCGCCTAGGATCCTTTAAGTATGTAAACTTATGTGTGCTATAAAATAAAACCATTCTTAAGTGCATAAAATAAAAATCACCCTAACAGAAGGGAACACTTAAACACCATTTGTCACAGTCAGAGAAGGCTGCATACTAAGCTTCCATAATTTCTTTTATAACTGTTTCAGGGTGTGTCACCTGAAGTTTTGTAGAAAATGTGTGTGGAATACAATATTTTGTATTCTAAAGGTATATTGTATATTGTATTTGTATTTTAAAGGTGTTTTCTTGCCTTTTGTCTACTGATTGTCATGGACTGAGATGTACCTCTGTGGATTGCTGAGGATCATTGATTACACTGGTTCCCTAATAGAGTAGTGGTTAGGGTGCAGCGCTCTCGCCGCTGCGGTCTGGGTTCAAGGGTTATGTCAGGAAGGGCATCCGGTGTAACATGCCAACATGTAGCTGTGGCAACCCCTAATGGGGAAAAGGCTTTCCGATGAATATTCAGGTTGGTCTTGGATAAACAAGTTGGTAGAAATGTTTCTGGGCCTTTTTTCATGCAATACATTACCATGGCCAACACCTATCTTCTATTTACTCCTCTGTTGAATCTTTTTCACAATGTCCTGAAAGCAAATTGTGATCTTCAAGCATGATCTTGTATATGAATCCTTACTGGAGACACTCTTGTGATACTTATTGCTGACATTGGATTTATGATTCTTCTTTTTAAATCTGAGTACTGCAAAACAGATTTTTGTAATTTTAACGGTGTTTTCTGAGAACTACTGTTATAAGGCACAACATCTGAATCTTTTTCTTAACACAATGTGTAGTTCAAACACAAATATACAGGCTATACTAAAAAAGAATAATAAAACAGCAAACAGAAGATCAAATATCATTGCATCAGTACAAAAATCTGAGTTGTCGAAGTGTCCTTGGGCAAGACACTGAACCATCAAGTTGCCATCAGTTGAGTTGGCGCCACAGATGGCTGCCTCGGTTCTGTAC